TCACTGAAAGGGTGGTCAAGCATTGGAACAGGCTGCCCAGGGCAGGGGCTGAGTCCCCATCCCTGGAGGTATTTAAGGAACGGATAGATGTGGTGCTCGAGGACATGGTATAGATGGACTTGGCAGAGCTAGATTAACGGTTGGACTTGATGATCTTGGGGGTCTTTTCCAACCTTAACAATTCTATGTTTTTATGATTCTGCTAGCTCAGCCAGCAGATCCCCAACGTTCTGAAGCATGTGGCTTTATAGAAGTGTACAATAAAGTAAGAGATTTGGGTAACTCATATATTACTAACAGCAGTGGGAATGATACAGCCATTACCTGATGAGACCTTTCGCATCACACTGATGAATGCAACATGCAGCTCTCAGCTTTTATACACACACACAGAGCATGCAGTATACATGTATATAGTATATACATAAACTATATCTAGTGTATCTACCAATACAGAATATACTCTGCTTACATACATACAGATAAAAAGAAGCAAAGCTGCTGATATGAATCTCAGCGTGAAACGTCTCTCAAATACCTCACAAAGCCACAGACGGGCTCAAAACACCTTACACCACAAAACCTCTGAACAGTCCTGAGAGCTCACAGGCCCTTTTGCAATCTAACAAGCAAACCCAGCGAGCAATGAGATGCTATCGCCCCTCTTTGCTCCACTCGGGAGGAAGTGGCTACAAAACAAAAAGCCCTACCATGTTGCTGACAGGAAGGAAAATGTAGCCAAGGGCATGAAAAACAGACATTAAAAAAAAAAATAATAATGTAAAGCAGCAAGTAAAGTGCAATTCAGTTTTACACCTCTAGAAGCATGTGGGTTTTCCTTTGGGGTAGTGACACCTTGTGGCCCCTATCCTGCATAGGCTCTAAAGGACATGTCCCATACATAAATAAAATACAAGTGTTTAGTGTTCCTGAATGCTAACATCCTTTTTCTTTTTTAAGGGGTAGAGGGAAGTACATCCATTAATAACTTTGCTATCCCCGTTACGGAGGTTTCTCCCATGCTGCCTATTTACAAAAATGGCAAATTCACTACATCTCATAGAAAAGCCTCAGTAACGGAACGAATTTGTATCTGATAAACTCATAAAAATAATTTTCACTTCACTGGGGTTGAAAGAGTTCTGATTTATGCTGCCATCAGATCAGAAATCTGTCTTGACTATGCAGTTTTCAAAATTAAAGGGCATGCACCATTCTCTTATCCGACTAGTACAATTTTATGCTCTATTTGAAATTAAAAGTACAAAAGCAACGGGATACTGGGACAGAACATCAGCCCAGACCCATGTGCATCCTGTGATAAAAATATCTTTGCTATCTTAATAAAGTTAAGTATTTAATGATTTGAAAAATTAAGAATGCTTGTGCAACCCTCAGTCGCCTTCTAGCCCATACCGTTTCCTCCCCAGGATCCCATCCTCACTCAACAAAACTGTTCTTTCATCCTCTCTTCGCTTCCCACCACACTGCCTCACATTGCCACGGTAGCACACAAATGCCTTACAACAAGCACTGACAGCCCTTACTTCTCAGGCGTCCTCTGAGTATTTTCACTCGTACTTTACAGAAGGTAAGAGAATTTTGTTCATATATATATGTATATATACATATATACACACACACTAATTTGGGGCCCTATTTGGAGGCAAATAAACTCAGTTTCATCTCATCCCTCAACCTGGACACTAATTTAAGATCATTATCCTTGGTTCCCTACAGCTAACGAAGAGTCACACGCTGCCTCCAGAGAGCAGTGTGTCCCACCTAGTAGCGGTTGTTGCTCACGCTGGAAACATACAATTTTAGCTGGTTGGTTGGTTTCTCCTCGGGATACGTTTCTAAGAAGCTGGTGTTCATTTTTTTTCTGAAGTACTGACCCATAAATTATATCAATATGCTGTTATACCTAACACACCTCTAAATTCTTGTGTGAGGATTTCACTTTTAAGTGATACTTCAGCAAAACATTGTCCATGATGATGTACATAGAGGTATGAGCGTGTGTGCATGTTTAATTCATTGCTTCCTTTCCCAAACATGAATCATCCCTAACCCGTGAGCCCTCAATGTCCTACAGAAACGGCCTGCACACCGTACTGCTAGCTAACCCCATCCTCGGAGCCAGCCTTACTGCTATTAGTGAGGTGTACGCCTAGTTTTACTTTTACACGTCTACTCCTTTGGTATCAGTGACAGGAATAGAAGCAGAAATTCAGCCAAGAAAATAGGAGTGTAAGCCTCAGACACTCCAAAACAGGGTGCCTCAGCACAGACAGTTTCACCAGCAGCTTAACCTGCTGAGCTGCACTCTGAACTGGAGTAGCTGGGGCATGAGTACATCCTTCCTCCATCAAGATGACCAGTGGTGGCCTGTCAAAATCCAAAGAGAGAAGGACAAAGAAGTTTCATTAGGAACAGGGCATGCCACTAAGCACTGACCTGGGAGTCAGAGATACGAGTACTATGCCTGGCTCTACCGCTGACCCACATGCAAACTTGAGCGGGGCACTTGACCCTCTGCCTCCCTCTCCTTTCCCAAGCTTTGCCCAGATAGATGCCGAACAATCTTGGAAGGAACTGTCCCCTACTAGGCTCGTATAAGGCACAACAGGACTCCTCTAGGTGACTGCAATTAAAATAAGAGTCAGATCTATTCCAGAGTACAGATCTACTGTTCTACATCAGCAGTTCACAAACTTGTCGCTATGAGAGACACTCAGACCGCAGTTTGGGTACAGTGCTACAGATCATTTAAATGGTACAACCCTAGATTACATATGTTTTTAGTCTAGCTTTTGTACCAGCCGTTTTCTTCTCCTAATAGCCTGTGTCATCTTTGGAGTCATTCCACAGAATCTGTGGTTCTTTTTTTCATGCACAATCAGATCCGCTTAGAAACTGATGCTCTCAGCAACACATTTACCAAATTCTAAACAAACCATTCACTGTATTTACAGCTACTCACTACAGCTATTCTGCATCATCAAGGAAGACAAAAAGATTACAATATTTACTGCGATGAATCATCATCCCTCTTCCAATCAAAACCACCCTTGTATACAAAACCTCTGATCCAATTCCCTCTCTGCTTCTCGCTGACTACGCTACTTCAAGTCAACAACTGCCAGCTTTCATTAACTCTTATCACCTTACTGTACCGGTGTCTGAGATTCTCAGGCTAGCGACAAAAACGTGTTCTGAATACACCCTGCAAAAGCACAGCATCAAATTCCAGTAATTCTAGTGGTAAGTACCCACAATCAGATTAGAAAGGTATTCTGGATAATACACTGCATTACAAGCCCTGACTTAAAATCCAATTACTGCTGTTCCCAACAAATAACTAACCCTATTATTCCAGCTCTGGTAGGACAACACAGCCAGGAAAGAGTTGCAATGCTAAAACTGAAGTGCAAGCTTAAGACCCAGAGGAAAAAAAAAAAAATCAATTTTCATTTTTAATGCATGTCCTTAAGCCACAGAGGCTTATAATGCAGTTTATTGCCTGCTGCCAGAGTTCTCCAGAAGGCTATGTTTTATGGTAAATGAGTTATTAAAAAGAGAGAAGGTAAGTCAGGTTAGAACCTCAGTGTTTGTATTGCAAACTGTTGTTCCTCATCTTTTAGTTCTTATTAAGTCTTAAGAGAAAGCTTAAGCATACAGCTGCCTAGAAGAGCTTAAAAAGTGACACACTGGTCAGTTTTGGAGATGTATTTCTCCGAGGGGACAAATGGACCTCCTTTGTTTTATCAGGACATTTATCACATCATTGTTTATAAACTGATACTGCTTGGTACACAGAAATACTTAGATGTGTGCACAGGGGAGGCCATAGGGACAGAAGACTCTCCTCCTTGTTACTTGTCGTGCGTAACCCAGGTGAGTCTCTAGCACAGGTGTCTTCCACCTTTTTGTCATTAATTAAACCAGTGTTTAACAGACAGACACAAAGCACACGTTACACAACTTGGACAGCCAGCGAGGAAGAGCATTAGCAGCGGTTGTTAGCTGGGACAGGAGCAGGCATCCCTGCAGGGATCTCACTGCTTCATGGCAGAATGAGGCAGGATTCAGCAGAGTCCTAGAGTAACCCAGCAAAACGGGCCCCACTGTTTTCTTCTCCTGCTCACCAAAACCCTGGAGTCCTCACCCCACCTTTGCTCTGCTGCCAGTTGTGTGGCGAGGCCCCAGCACAGAAGCTGTTCTTGAACTGCTGGATAAGTGTTTGTGGTTCAAAATTAGTCACGCCCATGCTTAGGGATACCGGTTTATTCTACAGCTTGCCAGACAGAGGAGATCTTTGGCTGATCGGTGCCAGTGCAGTAAGACGACACTATTAGCTGAACAAACACATAACGGTGAAATCCACAGCCCTCAAAGTTAACAAATTACCACCGGGACTGCCAGTTCTCCGTTGGAGCAAAATTAAGAATGACGACTCCAGGCTTTGCTAACCATGGTTGCGAAGTTAGCTGGGAATTGTGTAAGCTAAATCCATCCACAGCAAGGCTACACAAGAGCAAAACCAGCAGCCTTCAGTTCAAGGAAGCATGGTCCTTCTTCAAATATGCTCCACGATCGCTCTGTTCGGCCCTCAAGACTGCGCAAGACCTTTTTTGTATGCTTTGATCAGGACCATGCTTCCTTGTCTTTTTTCCCATACACCATGTGCAGGTACTGGAAGGATTTCAGGTTAGGTAAGGGGATTTTTTGTCCCACGTTTTGCTAAGCTTGACTGCTTTGACCCTGATTAAATGCTAATGTATCCTAACCACCTAGAAGTTGCAAAATAATACCACAGAATTAACATTTAGTAAATATTACTATAATGCTTGTGACCTCAAGAAAAAAAAAAAAAAAATCTAAAATGTTCCAGTATAAGTACTCGACCAGAACACCTACCGTTTTGTAAAGCTGTGCTTTCAGGCGGTACGAGTTGTATTCCATTTTTCTCTTCTCTTCCTCTCGCTTCTTCTGCACCTCTGGCAGCTGCTCATAGATCCTTAAGTGTAAATACAAAAAGTCAAAAATAGTGACTTGGAAGGAAGGAACTTATTGATATAAAAAAAACATCCTCTATTTTATCTTCACAATCTGTTAAAGGCTACTGGCCAACCACATCATAGAAAAATTTATCTGGGGGTTTACTGGTGTCACACAGGGAAAATGTGGAATACATAGCAGTTGTGATACCGGAAATTCCCACATCCCATAATGCCTTTCTCTTACAAGCAGCACCCTCCTAAAAGCAACATTTATAACATTAAAATGACCATACAGCTGATATATTACCCAGCTGCAAAAGGTAGAGCTTCAATATCTTCAGTACAGAATAGCCGCGTTGCTTTGAGGATACGCTGATTCTGAGTAACATCTTTATCTACCAATAGCAGTATTTTTATCACAAGAATAACCTGAGTTAAGCTATTTAGGCATCTTTTCAATATTTCAATATTTGCAACATTCAAGATTGTTGCCCTGTTTAGGTCTTTGTCTTCCCCAGTGCTGCACTTCTCCCATACCAGAGCCAAACAGCAAGGGATGCTTTGAACTCAACAGAAGGTGGCTGGTGCTCAGCACAGAGCCAGCGCGCTATTCTGGTTTGGTTTACGTGCTACCATCTAAAGGAGGGACCCGAGAGCTAGGATGGCAGTGTATTGCTCATGCTGCCTTCCCCAAATCTTCCTGTACGATCATAAAGCTTTACTAATTTCATGACAGTGGTTGCCAAGAAATAGGCAGCTCCAAAAACGTTGTGGTTTACGGGAGGTGGAAACGAACGATGTTCAAAAATTTCATTCCTGTAATATTTAAAGCAAGACGGATCCTCCCAGAACTCCTTTCTTAACATGCTGATTTGATAATCAGCGTATAGAAAACAAAAAGACTTGTTACAGATACAGTAGTGCATTATACTCTTTTAGAGACTTTCATTCTTACGTCAGTATAATATCTTTGCATAATTACTGTTGGCACTTCCAATATTTTTAAACACATCTATGCCTTCAACTCGTATTATCTGAAAGAACTTCAACACGCTCCATTTTGAACAGTGCAAATCAATGCAGCCCACCAGCCAGGAGGGGCATCTTTGACAGTTATCTTGGTACTAATTCCAGCAGGAAAATAAGTCATGCTTCAGACCGGCAAGAGAAATGAGGGAGGCAAACGTGCATCCGTTTGCACCCATTTGCTATTTAGTCAGTACAAGTTAGGTGTCACTTGCATGTTTCAAAGGAGAGAAGGACGAGAAGTTAGCTGGAAAACAAAGTAATAGGAAACTGTACGATAACACCTAACTAAGCGGGCAGAATCAAGAAAGCAAGAACTTGGGAATTCATGAGCAAGCAAATACACATCCAACACCAAAAAAAAGAAGGGGGGGGGGGGGGGGGAAAAAGCGGCCCCCCCCACAGGGACCCCC